CAAGCAACCTGCAACAGTCAGTTCCCCTGAACGATTTTTAAAAAATATTTAATTGAATGAAAACATTGAAATTTGACTAATTTTGTTAATTATAATGCATAGTGAAGAGATTAAAAGGTGAAATACAACGTGTGTCAACGGATAGGTTTAGATACAGTTGAAGTTCATCAGTAAGAGTCTTTCCAGGATTCTTTTCACTCAACTTGGGAAACATATCCACCCAATTTTACACAATATCCTCTTAGGCTAACAAAAAGATAAGCACAGACGTTCATTCAGTCATATTATTCATCCCTCTCTCTCTCTCTCTCTCTCTCTCTCTCTCTCTCTCTCTCTCTCTCTCTGTCTCTCTCTACCTCTATCTCTCTCTTTCTTCCTCTCTCTCTCACACACCCCCTCTCTCTTCCGATCAGTATCTTAATATTATGTCTAGAGAAACTAGGCGTGGGGGCTCTCATGGCCTAGAGGTTAAGTTGTTGGCCTCTCATTCAAAGGTCCCGGGTTCGAATCCGGGTAGCGACCGAACAATTTTCTTCTCTAAAATTGTCTCCTTTCCCCTCCTTTCCTGCTCTCTAGCAATGTTCTGTCGTCTGCTTTCGTCTCCTCTTTCTGACCCCACCCCCTCACCTCCTTTGCCCCCTCCTCTGTGCTCCTGGCTCTTTATGCAGCCTTTATACTGCTACTCCTTGACTCCTTCTTACTGCTGTCTTTCAGCCACATCCCTGATCTTATGGTAAGAAAGATCTACACCTAGCCTTCTCGGACAAGGGCGAAAAATCTCGGCGGTCCCGAGTGCAAGTTACGCATGTTAAATATCCCTTGATGGTCTAAAATCAATAAGAGTAGGCTTCGGGGGCCACCTGGACAACATTCAAAATTTACTACAAACTGAAAAAGTTTAATGTGTCCCGCGCGCTCACATGACCTTATGCAGTTGCGAGCGCCGTAAAACACTTACCCACAAAAACAAAACTAGGCGTGTACTTATTTCGCAGCTGCTGAATTTTATCTTTCTTTTACTGTTGTGTGACCCATCATAACCCAATAAACATTCATTTGGGGCCTGTAACATTTCGCGTAGTACTTGCACGTGGCGTTTGATCGATCTGTTTTGGAGTCTTTTTTGACAAACAGCGGATAACAATTTAATGGAAAACTCAAGACGAAGAAAGAAGTAGGTCGAAAGACTGGCTGACAGACACACAGACAGACAGACAGATGCGCAAATACGAGAGAAGGGGGGGTGACACTTTTTTTTCAAAGGGCAATATTTAGTACCGTAATAACGTATTCAATATTAGAGTCGTGTTAAGGGATGTAGTTTAGTGAGTATATGTAGTTTGTTTGTTTGTTTGTTGTTGGATTTTTTAAGAGGGGTCGTTTCTTGTTGTTTTTTCTTTGGGCGGTGGAAAACATGAGTATGATTTTATGTGTATGTGTGTTTGTGTGTATGGGTGTGTGTATGTGATTGTGAATGTGCGTGTGTTTGTGTGTGTGTGTGAGTGTGTGTGTGTGTGTGTGTGTGTGTGCGTGTGAGTGTGTGTGTGTGTGTAAGAGAGAAATAGAGAGAGAGAGACAATGGGAGGGAGAAAGAAAGACACAAACAGAGCTAGAGACAGACAGACAGACAGACAGACAGACAGACAGACAGACAGAGAGGGTATGTGTTTGTCTATCTGTAAGTGTACGTGTGTGTTATGAGAGTGTGTATGTATGTGTGTGCATGCTCGTGCGAGTATGAGTATATGCCGCAAATATTTGTAGACATAAAAAACTGGTAACTCTGTTTACTTTTATAGGCTAGAACTTAGGACGAAGGACCGATT